CTTGCCACGTGGCTGGTGGCTTACCAGCGTCTTCACATGCTGCTTGTCCTGGCGGTGGCTGCAGTGTCTCTCCCTCAGCCTTCCGCTTCCCAGAATTCTCCTCTCTCCTTGTCCCACCTACTTCCTGCCTGGCAACCTACTTCCTGCCTGGTCACTGGCCATCAGTGTTTTATTTATATAGAATGATATCCACAGCAATGTTCACCTCCCCATCCAGAACAAAACCTCACTTTCCAGAAAGTACCCCAGGTGAGATAAGAAGCCTTGTTGGAACAATAAATCGAGGACTTACCGTCCTCTTAAAGAGAAACTTTAGTTTTTATTTTTTAAATTATGTATGTGCACATGAGTGCAGTTGCCCACAAGACCAGAAAAAGGCAGTTTGTGGGGGAACATCACTTATTCCTTGGAGCTGGAGTTATAGAGAATTGTGATCCAACCCCCATGCATGCTCAGAACTGAATTTTCTGGTCCTCTATAAGAGCAGTATGTGTTCTTAACTCTGGGATTTTTCTCAAGTTATCATCCTTTCTTAGTTCTATGATATAATTTTACAAGTTGTTTCTATCAATGTGCTATAGGACCCAAACCATTTTGAGAAATTCATCCTGAACTTCTTCCCCCAAGAACACCATGTAAATATTTATGTTAAGGTGTGGTCCCCCACCTGCAATGCTACCGAAAGGCGGTAGAGTCTTTAAGATGTGGGGCTAGGGGAAGGACCTTAGGTCACTGGAGGGGCGCCATTAAAGGGGGTTTTAGAACCTCAGGCTCACCCTTTCCCTCATTTCTTGGCTGCCACGATGCCAGCAGCCCCCCCTCTAACATGTACTGTGATGACCCCTGTCTCCCAGAAGTCCAAAGTGATGGGGCCACATGGCCATAGACTGAAGCCTCTGAACTATGAATTGAAGAAAATAAAACTTTCTTCCTTACAAAGTTATGTTTTTAGATAATTTATTCCAGTTACAGAAAGCTACCTAACATGGTTTTCTCAATAGATGGCTGTGGGATACCATCTAAATAGAGTGAAAGACCCACAGAAGGGATAGCAACACTGTGCTCACATAGACAGTGAAATCATAAAATGAACACAAGAAAAAATTATTTCTATAACTTTGGATATTTCTGTTACTTTGAAATAGAAAAAAATTCAAAGTGTAGTAGAGAAGTTGGGAATCATAAAGGAAAAATGGACAAAATTTACCAACTTAACATTTTAATCCAACTTGGAGGATGGATGACAAGCATCATGGAGAAAGTGGCAGTGTATTGGCAGACTGAAAGAATACACCTAGGATTCCTAGGTCCTCATCTAACCCAAGGTACTTCAGAGAGTGAGAGGCCACACTGCCTCAAATGTCAGAAAAAAACAGACATAGAGTAGAACTTCCCAGACAAACTAAGCAGAGGCCACACAGATAAATATGACAGATGCCTCAGAAGAGAAGAACAGGCCATACAAGACTGAATGAAGTGACAGATAATAGATGGCATCACCTCAGAACTTCACTGGAAACAGAGGAAAACCAGACCAAAGTAGGCGAGTATAGCTTTAGTGTGCGTGTGCGTGTGAGAGAGGGGGGGGAGGGAGAGGGAGGGAGGGAGGGAGGGAGAGACAGAGAATGGAGGGGAGGAAGGAC